GGGAAATTCCCTAAAAAGAGATGAATGTAACTTCGAGCACAGCAGGGGGGAAACCAAATAACTCTGGTCTGATCAGGCATTTTTTTTATTTCATTCAAAGGGTCAAAGGGGGAGAAGGAAAGCGGACTAGTCTTTGTCTTCAACCAGCTTACTAAAGAGGGTGCCTTACACCAAAGGTTAAGTCTTCATCAGGCATCCTGGACGAGCTGAAAAGCCAAACCAAGACACCGCTGCTCCTGCTGCTGCTAGGGCGTAAAGAGGCGGGCTGGCAGGTACGGACCGTTCACTCTTGCGGGCTTAAAGCACAAACCAGCTTGCGCTTTCCAAGTCAGGCGCAAGCCCGTCTACCTCGGACACACATACACACACGCCCTTCTCTCCGCGGCGCTGAAATAGGGGGCGGCGGCAGAGACACACCGTACGGCTCCTATTGCCGTTTTCTCCCGGCCTTCTCCATTCCCCGCGAGTAAGCTTTTCCCGTCGGAGGGAAACCGCGAAGAATTCAGGATTCTTCTTACCGCCCAACTCCACCGGCAAAGTTCCCCGCGAAAAGCGGAGCGAGCCCCGGGCGCAGCAGTTAACAAACGCCACCTGCCCCGGGGTGGGTCCAGCCGCTTAGTTTCCTTCCCAGCTGGAGAAGCTGAGCGTGCGAGGTGTCAACGCTGCTTCCTTGCCCGACCTTCGCTTCCTCGTCTTTCTCCTCGGGTGAGGCTCGGGTTCCCGGTCCACCTTTGCCAACATGGCCCGGGATGGTGCCGGGGAGGACCGGCGAACGCTTTCCTTGCCCAGCCCAGAGGCAGCCGTGGCTCACGCTCACGCTACCTTCAAGGCGAGCAACGCCTCCGCTCAAGCTCCCGGCGTGCCTCCTCCTCCGGCACCTCCGCGATGCCGGCTTGTAGCTGGGCTGTCCAACCGGCGTTTTTGTCTCCCTCCGCCTTTTTGCTCCCGCCAACCTTTCACCTTCCCTGCCTTAGCAGCACCGGCGGAGGAGGCGTTAACTGTGCAAGGACAGCAGTGACCCCTACCGGCCGATTCCGCCAAGCCTGACTTGAACGTGACGATTCAGAGAGGGAACGGTACCGTGTGTTTTTAGATGAATAACCACTCCATGAGGGCTTTAGCATGCAAACTATTTCTTATGGAGCCAGACGTCTGTCATCAAGAGTTGTCTTGGCAAAAGGAGAGAGGCATCATTTGCTGGAGACTGCTGCTTGCTTTAGATGGATTTAAACACATCTTTAAAATGTCTATCATAGATGTTCTTACAAGCCCTTTACCTAAATGTTTGGAAGAAGGGATTTGAACTTGCTTCCAATTTATAAAAATTGCCTGAGGCCTTTCCTGTGCACATTCCACTTAAATCACCTTTCAACTGTACAGTACTGTACGCCTGTATTACTGCAGGGAATGGAGCAACCAGATATTACCAGACAGCATAGCATTCAACTGGTAACCAAAATGCTGCAAAATTAACAAAGTAATTATGAATGTGCTTTGTGCTACACAAGGTCACCCCCCTCAATCTTAATTTTAGGCTGAGTTCAATTTTACACTGTCATGATGTGGTTTGTTTGTGATTAAGGGCTCTTTCTCCCATCCCGAAATATAGCATTAATATGCTTGGTGACCATCTTTTTCTTCATTTCTTCATGACATTATCCAACATCCATGACACATTGGTAGCCTATCTTTTTCTTTTTTTATTAAATTTTTATTCTACATCATATGGTGCAGCAACTCTTGATGGTTTTTAATATTACAAAGTCCTGCAAGAAACTTAAATTAGAGGAATTAAATAGAAAATCTAAAAACAAAGGTGATGGGCAGTTTGGGGATGGAGATCTTTTTTACATGGTGAGCCACCCCCAACATAGCAGCCCTTTGTTAGGGTCAAAGCCAAGCAGCAGAAAAAAGTTTTCAGGCTCTTCCAGAAGGTCAGGAATATGTGGGACGACCTCACTTCCAACAAGAGAATATTCCACAGAGCGGGGGCCACAGCAGAAAATGCTCTTCTCATGGACCCTGCCAGTCAAAATTCTTTGGCAGATGGGATCCAAAATAGGCCCTTTCCACTGGAAAAGAAAATGGGGCAGGCTAGTGCCATTGGAGTGAGATGGTTCCTCAGCTACCCTAAGCCCATGCTATAGTGGGGAACTTAATATTTTCATCTGTGGCTCCAATTTGCAAAAAAGAAACATTTTCCCTTTTTAAATAGAATTTTAGGTATGAATACAATCTGGTAGACTTGACTGTTTATCAACCTTGGCAACTTTTAAGTGCGAACTTCAATTCCAAAAATTCCCCAGCCAGCATGCCAAGGAAATACCGAGAAATACTGCATTACACTAATGATGTAATTCAAGGGTTAACTTAACTCTCTGTGGCTACTTTATGCTGCTGCACACATGTTTCATCCATTCCCATTGCTGGGAGCTGCTTTCTGTGCTCATATTGGCTTGGTCTACGGGAAAGATTAGGCACCTGCCCCTGTAGAGATATCTGCCTGCTAAACGCCTGACATGCTTTCAATGGGTTCTTTACAAACATGGGTTTAGTACCTTTTGGAAAGAGTGTTAGACTTGTTTTCTAAGCAGCCCTTCATTTTTAAACTGCAGAGAAAGTTGATTTAAAGCATGAAAAAGAGCTTCTTTTTCCAACTGTTGCTGCAACCATAGTTTTGCTGCTTCTACCAACAATGAGCTTCTGTGGAGAAGGTGACACTATCTTGCCCATTCTAATTCAAATTTGGCACTGGTGACTAGGCAGAACTTAACTGTCTGATAATTCACAATCTTACTACATTAGTCAACAACAGAGCATGGTTGTTATTGTTACCATCCATTTGACTCCATATCCATCTTCTCCACCTGTAATCTGTCAGGTGGATTGTTTTGACATGAGTTTAGCACTCTTCAGTAATAGCTGGGCTGAGAGGAACAGATGAGGGGCTGCAATGAGTAGGAACAGTGGGAGCATTCCCTCCCACTCCACCTCATGTACCCCTTTGCCCTTGCAATGTGTTAGTCAGACAATTTGACAGATGGATAAACTTGTTGTTTTAAGGACTCATCTCAGTTCACCCAACCATATCCCAAACTGCGGATAGTAGTTGCTGGTTTTTTTATCTACTCGGAAATAGAAGGGAAAATGAAGCCAAGCAAATCCAGTTCTCCTGCTTCTCAGTTTGGTACGTGACAAGTATTTAAGAACACTATTATGGCAAAATAGGAGGGCCACAGTATTTACATTAGCATATTTGCCTGAAAACCTAAGAGACTGGTAGGTAGCAGTATAACACAATGGCCTAGAATAGTCCTTAATTCAACAATCAATTATGAAATAAACTACAAATCAGTTCAATGTACAGATTTGAAATTGTTTTTAAAATATTAACATTTATATTTCAAAACACAATAATTTTACGTAGAATCTCATCCAATTGACTCCTGTAAGAGAGATAAAGGGAGGAAGGGAGGGAGAGAAAGAAGGGGGGGGGAGACTGACTGACTCATACTTCTTCCAGGGCATGGTGCAATGTACATTTTTGAAACTACATTCTTAGTCACAAATGAAAGAATTTGGGCCATAGCCAATTCCATTCTTTTTTACATGACATTATTTAAACATACTTTGGTGGTTTTGCAATCAGAATACAAAATATTTCAAAGTATTGCTGAGGGTTTGGTCTTTTACTTATTCCAGGAATCGTTTCATTGGTCTGTGATGAATTCTCCTGGGATCAGTAATGAAAACTGGTAGATAAGTCTTTAAATAAATGGCTTTTTAAGAACCTAAAAAAGCATTTGTTATCATACTTCTTAGGGAAAGGAACTACTCTAAAAGCATGTGAACAAGATACCCCCAAAGATTTGTTTCAATAATCAGTATTAAATCAGTACACTTTTATTTTTAAATTCTTTTCAAAACAGGACTGTCTGTTTCTGAAATGCCCTCCCTAAAATGCTATATTTAATTTACAATTATTTTGACACTATTTTTGGCACCTTTCAGCTCATACAGGTAATCCTTGACTTATGACTACAATTGAGCCCAACATTTCTGTTTTCTAAGTGACACCTTTGTTAAGTGAATTTTGCCCTATTTTGCAACCTTGCTTGCCACAGTTAAGGGAATTATTGCAGTTAAATTAGTAATATGGTTGCTAAGTGAATCTGTCTTCCCCATTACTTATCAGAAGATCACAAAAGATGATCACTGCAACCATCATAAATATGAATGGTTGCAAAGCAACTGAATTTTGCTCATGTGATCATGGTAATGCTGCAACTGTTGTAAGTGTAAAAATATGGTCATAAGTTACTCTTTTTTTGTAACTTCTAACAGTCACAAAATAAATTGTTGTAGGTTGAGGACTATGTGTAATTTATTTTGATTATTATTTTAAAATTATAGTGTTGCTCTAAGATATTTTATCCACTACAATAAATATTAAACATTTAGTTGTTATATTTTTAAAGAAAGACAAGTGGTGGTGAAGCATTAAATTCAACGTTGCAATAATAAATCCAATAATAAGTCAAACCCAATAAAACATATATAACCAACAGAATTGAAACTAAAATATATAGATACCCTTTAATCAACCCATAAATCAATTATATGCGGTACCATTCTGGAAACTCCTGTAAGGAAACATGATATGACAAATTTTTAAAATAAATGTATATTCTTTTCCTCAACTGGAAATCTCATTCTGATTCATTTATCCACTAATAATTATAGTAGAAAAATGGCCTTTTGGTTTTTAAATCTGTACTATAAAAGTACACAGTGAAGTTCCACCAAGCACGAGTGAAATGTTCAAAGGCTTCTAGAAATTTGGCTCACATACAACTAATGAAGTTTATGCTTTGTAGAAGCATGCTATGACCTGTCCACAACAAGCTTGCCTTATGCAGTTGTATTAAAATATTTGCATTTCTGAAGGGGAGTGACTGTGAAGATGGTACCTAACAGGCCACTGAGAGATATAGTTATTGCCTCACCTTACCTCCAGGGAAAGTAGGAAATGGCTAAGGGATTTATAATAAACTTCATTCTCTGAGTTCATAAGTGTGAATTAAGCATTTTTTTCTCTGCTCAACCCTAGTTTTAAAAAGAAAAAGAAGTGACCTTCTTTATTGCTAGGTTAGCAAAGAGAGGTCGCTAAACATTGAAATCTTTCACCTGGACCTATGCACTATCAGAAATAGTTCTGATTTATTGATCAATGCCATAAGTAAATTTTTAGGCAAAATAGTGAAATTTCAAAAGTAAAATTTAGTTAGTTAGTTAGTTTATTAGACTTGTATTCCGCCCTATTCCCAGGGGGACTCAGAAATTTCAGGTTAGGAGTGAAAAGGAAAGCAATTTAGCTCTCAGTGTATCTCACTTTCTTTACCACTCTTACTGTATTTAGCAGAAAGGCCAAAGAAATCATACCATGAAAAATCAGTATTTTTCTCCCAAATATCAGGAGAACAATCTGGGATGCTGAGGGCTGCAACCATTTTAAGAGGTAAATGTAATATATATATTTTAAGTGTCTTTCTGTAAACCTATGTGATCCTTTTAGAGGTACTTCAAAAATGCTATCAAAATTATTAATTATTAATGAGAAGTATTCTGTATTCAATCAAGTTAATACAATTTTAATTAAGTTCTATCCAATTATTTGCTGTGAAAATATTATGCACATTTAGTTATGTGATTAATTTTAAAACTATACTGTATATCAGAAAATATAGCAGCTTTATGAATGCCTCCACTGCGTGCATCATTAATAAAATTTATGTGGGATAGGATTCCAAGTAGTTTTTGATTTTTTGATTATTGATTGATTAGATTTATATCCCAGCTTTATTATATACAGCTCAAAGCAGTTTTTTCCTGGTGCTCTCCCCACAAGAGAACCTATGAAGAGTTTAAGCTGGTCCCAAGTTATAGTCAATTTCTGTGTCTAATGAAGGGCTAGAGGGCCAAAACCTATAGCATCCATGTTTCTATTTCAACACCTTAACCACTGCACTCAGGTAATGTAGAGGCATCATGAAGCTCCACTCAAGATTAATTACTGATAGTTATTTTATGTTTTTCAGGAATACAGTGGCTCAGTGGCTAAGATGCTGAGCTTGTCTATCAGAAAGGTCGACAGTTCGAATCCTTAGCACCACATAATGGAGTGAGCTCCTGTTACTTGTCCCAGCTTCTGCCAACCTAGCAGTTCAAAAACCGAGTAGAAAAAAAAGGAACCACCTTTGGTTGGAAGGTAACAGCATTCTATGCGCCTTTGGCATTTAGTCATGTCGGCCACATGACCACAGAGACGTCTTTGGACAGCGCTGTCTCTTTGGTTTTGAAACAGAGATGAATACTGCCCCCTAGAGTCGGGAATGACTAGCACATATGTGCGAGGGAAACCTTTACCTTTATATTATGTTTAGAACAAGAGTTTTGACATTGGCTATTGACAGCAATTAATTTATAAAATGGTAATTATTTTTTCCATATTGGGAGGGACAGTGTTAATCTGTAGGTTTAGTCTTACAAACAAACTTCTCCTCTGTACTTAAAATGCATAGTTAGCATTCTAGTGGCTGCAGAAATTAGCCAAGAGGAAATCAGAGTGGATTAATTTCAACTATTTCAAGAGGCTACTCTTTGAAGTCAGTAGGCATCTATTCATTGGTGAGATATTATCTTCAATTATTATTCCCAAAGTGAAGCACTTTACTTATCATTTTCACATATTCATACTAATGCTAAAATGACCTGTCACTTGAATGGATGTTTAAACTATAGCTGGAGGCAAAACATTGCAATGAATACTTTATGATGTCCTTTGTGTTCAGTTTATTAACAGGCTTACCTTTTAGCACATTATTTCCTTGTAAAAACACAGAGCCAAAATATCATTAATTTTTCAGTTTAACCATCCAATTATTAAACTCTTCATGAGATAAATTAATACTATACTATGTATGTGAATTTTAGACGAAATGCCTATATTTTGTAACTGGAATAACCGAAGTCTAAAAACACAGAGGATTATGAATAGTGACATGTTTTATTTTATCCTTCTGAAAATAGGATATTGACTGATAATTGTGATACAATCAGATTTTTAAATTATTTAGCATCTATAAATTCTATATTTTTTTTACAAATTTGCTTTATTTGTTAAGAATTTGGGAATGAATTCTTTCTTTTAAAGTATTAATTGTTGTTAAACTCTCCTGATAAGGAATAATGTGAAATTATAATTCAAAAACAAAATCAGAAATCTTCCATAGTGCAAGGTATTGTATCAATGAATAGGCTGTTAATATATGAGAGTACTCGAGTAAAATATATCCATTGGGATTTATTCATAAGTTAATGTATACGGAACAGAATTAAGATTTAAAAAAATCTGCCATTTAAACACAAAACTTAACATATACAATAGAGTTGGTCAAATGTCCATAATAGGATGGATAATTTGAATTACCAGTTGAACCGCTGGCCACTTCAGTGCCATTATGAATGCTAAGAATATATAAAGATGTTAGAACATTCTGCCTTTTTTTCTTCCAAGTACAGGGTCTACTTTTTCCCGATCAACGATGTATTGATTGAGGAATTGATTGACCAGCTTGTTGATTGACGCAAGCCTGTTGTTGTGGGCTGAGAGAAAGTGCCCAGCCAATTTTCATACCTAAGGGGGAATTAGAATGCAGATCCCCTGGTTTCTACCTGATGCCTTAACCACTAGACCAAATTGGCTCTCAAAGCATGTTTTTATGTATTTGAAGTTATTTTTATTCTTAAAATATAAGAGGTTCTTTTTGTTGTTGTTAAATATCTCCACTGTTTCCCTGAAGGAGCACCAGTGTAAGTTGAGGATTCTTTCTGAATTCACAGCTGCTTAGATGGGAGCCTGACAGTATGGTTTTTCTGTAGTAACCCTATCATTCATTCTAAAATAGTCCACCCACCAATGTCTGGATGACTCCCATACTTTCAGAATTCAGGAAGGTGATTAAAAACTGTTTCTTTGCTGAACTAATTGGCTGAGGACCTTGTTTTACTGGACTGTTTTTACCTATTTTAGTTATACTTGTTTTTTCAATAGATAGTTTTGAGATATTTATAATATTTATGTGAGCTACCCAGAGTTTGTAAAATAAAGCAGTATAAAAAGTAAATAAATATAATATACAGTATGTGTAGTTAAGCTTGCATTGTCATATCGCTCACAAGTCCTTTAAAACTTTACAATCCATTCTTGCTCAGTCCTTGTGGTTATTGTGCAAATTGTCTACCACTATAACTGTTTTGCCAACCTAATACTAATTTAAATGTATTTGCAGCCATGCAGAATTTGAAGAATTCTTTAAATCCATAACTGATTAGTTTTTCAGCTTATTTTCAATGAAATAAGCAAGAGTTTGTCTGTATTCTACTGTATATTGTAGTTCCCTTGGTATATCAAAATACCAGTCTCACACAGGCCCAACACCAATATTTTCTTAACTGATTTTGTGGAAAATAGAGTTGCAAGATAATGACTGATGCTATCAAATTCTTGTATTTGTTCTGGGATGGGAGAAAACCTTATTTCTCCACCAAAGCACTATTGCCTAATGTTTAATTTCCACTTAAATGGTATTTGTGTTAAGCTGATAGTAACACATGATTAGTTTATGTGGGAGAATGATGGAAAGGTTAATTAGCTGTGTGTTTTGCCAAGGCTGCATGAGATCCTTTTGCAAAAAACAACAAACTGGTATCATAAGTAACTTTTAGCTGTAATGTATTTAGGAATTTCCATTATATTTTCTTTTTTTTAATAGTCCTACTATGAAATATTTTCAGAATATAATTTTAAAACCTCTTTTCTTTTAAAGATGGCTGACACTCTCATACGTATGAATCAAAACAGAAAGAAATATTAGTCTTCAGTGTTCTTGGAGAGAAAAATCGAAGGCAAATTTCTACAGCTTGGGAGCAGTGGTATATAGCCAAGACACCATCCAAAGGATGGAACAAAGGCAAACAGCCCCATGTGAACTGATGTGGCCCAGCTGCAGATACTGCTCTACCTCAATCATTTTTCCCCCAAATCTATTCATGATTTACAGTTGTGGATTGCAGATAGAACTCATTTAATGAAGGTAATTGGGACCGAATTGTATGTCATTAAGTGATGCAGTAATAAAACTGGACATCAGATGACCGCACTGCTTAGTGACAGCAATCCCAGCAGTACCTGTATCGAAAACGTGGGTTGTGAAGATCTTATATTACTATAATTTGAAACTTCTTGCAGGCTTCCGACAAACCCCAGATGGCACCCAAGCAGGCTGGAAAGAGGGTGAAGTCTCTGGAGTTGGGGGGTTTAGCTGCTACTGCAAGTGCATGCGGGCTCAGGAGGGGTTGCTGTTGTGTAATGCATTTGGATTAGGAGGAATTGTTGCTGTGTCACACACGTGTGTGGAGGCTGGTGAGGGGGGTTGCTGCGTTGCCATGCAAATGCATGCAGACTATGGAGGTGGTCCTGTGGGACAAGTTCATTACAGAGTACAAGATCCCTGGTAGGGAGTTCCTCAGGAGAAAACATGACAGGAGCAACTTGCAACCTTCCTTTCTGGCTTCTCCATTTGCTTGTGGGAAGCTGGAAGGAAAGGTAACAGAAGGCGATCATATGACTGTGGGGCGTGGCAACTGTCATGTGAGCTAGTTGCCAAGCACCCAGATCACAATCAGGTGACCATGAGAGTGTGCAACAGCTAGAACATCGAGGACCTGTCATAAGCACAACAGTTCATTGATTGACCATTCAAAGTTACAGCACCACTGAGAAAAATGACTTATGACCATTTTTCATACTTATAACTGTTGCAGCATCCTTGTGGTCACAAAATTCAGCTGCTTGGCAACTGGCTCTTATTTATGACGGCTGCAGTGTCCCGGGGTCATGTAATCACTTTTTGGGATCTTCTGACAAGCAAAGTCAATGGAGAACCCAGATTCACTTAACAACCATGTTACTAACTTAACAAATGCAAGGATTCACTTAACAACTGTGGCAAGAAAAGTTGTAAAAGAGGGAAAAACTCACTTAGCAAATGTTTCACTTAGCAACAGAAATTTTGGGCTCAATTGAGATCATAACTTGAGGACTACCTGTACCATTTATTCAATGTTGTTACACCTTTGAACAGCCACTAAATGAGTGGTTACTGAGGATTACCTGTAACTTTTTTAGTACTGGGAATACTTGATATGGTATTTGAAAATCAGTAATATTCCAATTCTCTTTGTGATCATGTTTTTGCAGAATTGTTTTCCTTTTCCACTATCTTTTTAACTTCCAGATGTGAGTCTATAATATCTGAAATGTTCTAATTAATTTTGTAGGCTGTACAGCTACATACCGTAGTTAGAAAAGTTCATTTAGAATGGCTTCCTATAAGTTTTCTTGGATTTCACCTCCTCCAGAATATCCTAAAAGTAGATCTGCTGCCAGTCTCTAAAATAAAATGCTTTTCGTTTCTTGTACAATCATTTTGAAATAGACCTTTGAAAGCAAACATTAACTCTTCGCCTTGAGTACTGCCTACATACAGATTGTGTGGTAATTGCACTGCCAAAGAACCTTGTACATCTGCAAATAAATTATTTCTTTTCTCACAGCAGTGATTATGCTGTACATCCGAGGGAATATAATCAATGTTTATTATGGCCCAGACTAATCTTTTCTCCACAGCTGCTTTGAGGCAACTAAACATTTAGCTGGATATGGTAGAGTACAAAATACCACATTTTGTGTTTTCTGTGGAACTGTATCAAAATGTACACAAACTGGTACATTTTTTACCTTCTGGAAAATAATTCAAAAATAATACCATATTGTTGCCAATTGCAAATTTAAAACAGGTAATATATTTGAATTGATAATTTCTGGAATATTAAGAAAGAGGGTGTTTTGATGCTGCCTTGAGCATGTTAAATGAGTTAGGTGGTTGTAATGTTAGCTAAATTTTGTTATAATATTTTTGTTGGTTTTGTTACGCTTACATATAGTGAGAAAAAATTCATCATATGAGGAAAAAACCACATTTTGTGTTTTCTGTGGAACTGTATCAAAATGTACAC